AAAGTTTACAGACAGACGGACAGACAGACAGACGGACAGACAGACGGACGCCGGACAAAATGTGATCAGAAAAGCTCACTTGAGCTTTCAGCTCAGGTGAGCTAAAAAATAAAAAAATAATAAAATAAAAATAAAAAATAAATAATATATAATATATAAAATAATGTTTATTTTTTATGTTAATAACATCTTCGCTAGCCATGCAAGGGTTTCTGATACGCTACTCTCCTCATAAACTTTTGAAGATTTAGCGCAAATACTGGAATTTATAAGCGCTAATATAAGTACGCTAACCTTGCTTTCAAAACATGATGTAACAAATGAAGGTTATATATAACAACTTTTTCTTAAATTTATTTTTATACATATTTGCACGTATTCATTTAAACTAGAGCAAATTGCATTAGACCTAAAGGATTTCACTGTTTGTGACGTGCTGACGCTTTGCTTGTCGAGAAGTTTTAAAATACTACATCACATTGTTACCACATCAAAGGAAGTAACCGAGATCGCTTCTCTCCCACACTAAAGTCGGTCAAGTGCAATACACATCGCCGACGTATAGCGGGTTTATAAAAGGGGACAGGCAGCCCAGCTGTCCTTTTATTGAATATTTCCTGCACAAATCTTAAACGATTGAAAATAGAACAGTACGCTTTCTTTTAGAGTTCATAATAATTGAAGTAATGCCATTGTATATATGCCACATAAAATGTGTCTGATCAAGCTGGATGTTTCCGTATCAGTCCTGGTCATTCTGGGATTGTAGTAGTTTTTTTCAATTCACTGCTGAAAATAATGATTTTTCTTTGAAAAAAAAAATATTCCGTGTGTGTATTAAACCATGAACTGAAGGACTTTAGAACTGAGTACATAGATCTACATGTATACAACAAACAACCTTATCATGCGCGGATCTAGAGGGGGCGGAGGTGGTCCGGACCCCCTGGAATTTGCAGTTATTAAATTTATATACTAAACCAAATAAAAAGCGGATCTGTGTTAAGTTGGTTTGAAAAGGTACAAACATAAGAAGTACACCCCCCCCCCCCCCCCCCACACACACACACGAAATAGGTTTTTCACGTTTGAGCGAGTTTACGTAACGAATACTTTTGTCACGAAGGTAATTCGTATTCATCATTGTCAATAATTATGTCAAAATGCTAAATAAGTATTTGTACGTATCTTTGCTTAGAAAAAGAAGAAGAAAAACGCATGTATGTTAGTTTTTTCTTCTCTCTCTCTCTCTTTCCCTCTCTAAGAAAACGTTTCAGTGGCTGCATACAGTCATGTATTTCACTCTATTGTATCAATATTGTGTGAAAAATAAATATATGATCTAGTATTTTCATTTATTTTGATATTATGACAAGATGGTTTAGCCTACGGTCTACATGTATACCATAACAAGGAGCACAATACGTACTGAGTACTGCGTACGCAGAGATTTTGCAAACATCCTCCATTGTGTGTGTATATGGGGGGGGGGGGTAAGGAAGGAAACGGGTGCGATTTCAGCTACATGTACTGTGAGACAACTTTATCACATATTAATACAGTGTTTAATAATCATGCGATGCAATTTTTCTTAGATCTTTTGTTTGTTTTCTTACTTTATATGCTTGAATTAACTATTACGACGTTTAGAGAAAATGGCTTCCTAAATATTTATCACCAATTCGTACTTGAAATGGAGTATTTATCTTGTTTTAACTCAAACTATAAAAACCAGTTGATATTATTGATATTACTCCACATTTTTGATGTGTTACATACAGCACAGACTCGAGTTATTGGCGACAAAAAGGGGGGGGGGGGCTCTCATTTCTATCCGATTCGTTTTTACCCCTTCAAGTATGTAAACGGGCACTACCTAATATAACAAACCCCTCCCGGCCACTTTTTTATGGAACTCTAAATGGCAATTTTCCTTAGCCCCCCCCCCCCCGTTTCACAAAAAGTTTTTTTTTCACTGTTATTATTTTTTATGCATTGAAATTTTCATACGGAGGCCTGTTTCACCAAAGCCCCCTCCCCAACTTTTCTTTACAGTCCAATGTAAGCTCTTCCAGGTTATTGTGCCTAAAAAGGTACGAATATGAGAAAAGAAACCCTTTCTCCGCCGAATTCTTAATTTTGAGTTCTTTGAAATTTCCTATTTTTAAAATTTATTTATGATGATAACTATTGTTCTACTTTTTGAGCTTTGACTCTTTTTAGGCTTTTTTTTTTTTGCCAGCTATGTCTTCACTACTCTTTGAAATAAAAAAGCTACGTATCTGGAATGAATAGGTGATTTTAAAAAAGTAGATTAGAGGAGGGAAGCAGGAAAAGTGAAAGGAAAAAAGGAAGTAGAGACGATTGTTCCTTGTTATAGCTTATATAATATATATATCTTGAGGTAGAGGACGTAATAAGTTTTTAGAACTTGTGCCCAATTCCTTTGTAATTAGAAATTACAATAAAATATGTTCAAACCAAACCAAACCAAACCATACATCTTGAGAAAATACATGCATACACTGCGTGTCCAATTAGGGGACGACCATTTGATTTTGAAGGAGGGGGACTGGAAAGAGTCAAATTATTTATTTTCATATCATAATACCAGTCAAGGACAGATTATTTACTTTCTTCTTTTCTTCTACTCTGAAATGTTGACAAGCAAAAGAAAAAAGGGAAACTCTATTTCTGGGTGGGGGGAGGGGCTGGAAGTACTAGTCAAGGACAGATTTATTTTCTTGCCGGTCGAGGACAGATTTTTTGTTTTCAATATTTTCAAGGACGGCTTATCTTTTTCCAAATTCCGCCAGGCCCCTTTCTCAGAATCAAGAAGTGCATTTAAATATAGACTTTACATTCTGTCCTTCGGTATCATTTATACTGTGAGTACAAAATGTATGTATCGAACTTCAATCGATAAAATCGATAAAATTTGAACGTAAATGTACACGCCTTCCCTCTTTACTATCTCTTTCTAATATATGCGTACAGAGTGGGCTCCATTTTTCAGCAGTAATTTGTAATAAATTTCTACAATCTCAGAATTCATGACCTGGATTGATACTGATAAATCCAGTTAATCATGCACTACTTTTTATACGCAAATATGAAAAAGGTAAAATATGGAATAAAATAATCACCTCAACTTCAATTTATTATGGAATCTAAAAATGTATACTGCTCTATTTTCCGTTGTTTAAGATTTGTGCCAGAAATATTCGATAAAAGGACGGTTGGGCTGTTTGTCCCCTTTTATGAACCCGTTAAACGTCGGCGATGTGTATTGCAGTTGACCGACTTTAGTGTGGGAGAGAAGCAATCTCGGTTACTTCCTTTGATGTGGTAACAATGTGACGTAGTATTCAAACTTCTCGACAAGCAAAGCGTCAGCACGTCACAAACTTTGAAATCCTTTAGGTCTAATGCAATTTGCTCTAGAGGTACTGTGAGCACTGAATTCACAAAATGATTCCCCCGCTCCCATACAAGTATAATTGCAAAGTCCAATTTTTGCTATATGGGGAAGCCCAAATGTCTGTCCGATGAAAACTTAAAAGTAGAAAGTGCACATTACATATGATACTATGTAATAGAGATTCTGTAATATTATCATTAAATTATTCAGTGATATAGGAGTTGTGGATAAGAAATGGATTATCCTGACAATATAGAGAAAATAGCAGTGTCCACGATTTGCTATGGGAAACCTAGCTGCAATAATGTAGCCCTCTCCGATTTTTTTAATCTGATATTTTCAGGAGAGGGCTACAATTCCACTGCATCTCCGTAATGGTGCAAATATATTTTTTAGATACGGGCGACTGCAGGAAAAATAAATTGTTTTTGCCTTTAACTTACTTCCAACAAGACGGAATTTTTATTCACTATCAACATCATAGCCCTTTATACGCGAAAAGCAAGTGAAATAAATCTGCGTGTTTACCAGTCATTCTCTTCAGCAGCCATGACAGTTCTCGCGTGACGTACTGAGACTTGAAATTTAGAATCACTTGATAAAGTAAATGTCGGTGTTGATAAATGTTTGTGTTGTATGATAACACTAAACATCGATAAATAAAAGTATTCCATGGGATATTTTTTCATAAACAGTGATATTTATGCTTAAAATAAGGGAAATCCTAAACGATCCGCTCCCCTAGATCCCGAATTCTCATTGGTTGTCCCAAAATAAAATCGATCAAGGTCAGTAAACATGGCGGATAAATTTAAGTTGTGATGTTGACATACACGAAAAATAACAGATATACGGATTGTTCTGTATGTTTTTGGATCTATTAATGTCTTGCATAACTACATTTTATGAGTTCAGGTAAGATATATCAATAAAATACCCAATTACTGATAATTTGAGCCGAAATCTGTGCGGTGAATCACTCCCGCACTTGCACCATTACGGAGATCCTAAGGAGTTGTAGCCTTCCCCCCCCCCCCTCCCCCCCCCAAAAAAAAAAAAAATCGGAGAGGGCTACATTATTGCAGCTATGGGAAACCCGAAATATGCGTCCGATCAAAAAGTAAAATAGGAGTTGCGAAATGGCATTCAGAACAAAATTTTAAAAAAAAATCTCATTAAATTTTATTCAGTGATATAGGAGGAGTTGCAGATAAGAGATAGTTACCCCATTAAGTTTAACGGACGGATTTAAGTACTGGTAGACGGACGAACGGACTTGCATACAGACGAACACCCTAACACCTTACACCCCCGCTTAGACAAGAAAAGCGAACGTGCAATTCTAACTTGAACTGCACGCAAAACCTCCCTCTTAACTTATATGACTGGGCCACTAAGAGAGACAACAAAATTGACAACATGTCCGATTAATACAAAAAACCGCAGATAATCAAAAATTTAAAATATATATATATAAGTAAAAAATATATAAGCAAGGCTTTTGTTCGTAGTTTCTTAATTGGCATATTGAGTACATTTTGTGTGTCTTTTACTTTTATTTATCAAGAAAATATCAGAATCTTTCTCATTTAGTGGCCTTCTTTGTCCCACCGTGTGTAATACAGTCATCCCAATCTGGCCAAAATTCTGCCTTCATCCTCTCACAGTAACTACAGAGATTTTCAAACTCTGAAATTAAAGATAAAAAGTATATTTAAAAAACTCAAAAGAGCTTCAGATGTACATAAATATATCGGTCCATTTTTATTCCAGACCAGTGAGCCACAGATCTGTAGCTACAGCAGTAGCCTTTTTTTTTTAAATTAAAATAAATTTTCTTGTCTTACTTTTGAATTCCTGTTCTGTAAACGAACCAAATCCATGCCAGTAGCACTGAGATAGAATTCCAAATACAGCACAGTCCGCCTGACAAGGTTTCTCTCCAAGCAAAAACTTTTTCTTCCCTAAAACAGGCATCATATACTAGTAGAGTACCAATGACGTGTCTTATTCATGCAATACTGATTTCATGGGTGTTCAAGCAATTTAAATACAAGTTTTCAAAAACAAAATTATTTAATTGCACATACCTAAAAACGAGGAGAAGTTCTTAAGGCATTCAACAATGATTGTCTGCACTTCCTCTTGAGAATGGCGACCTATTCCTTGCGCATACGCTTGTTTTCCTAAGCCACGTTTCACCATTTTCCTGACGATCCAAGGGATTTTTACATATTTAGAAAGTTCAACGGCTTCATCATAAATCCAGCGTTGTAAAACAAGTGTCCTAGATTGAAAATAAAATATGTCAATTATTATAGTTTCTTTCACTATTTCTCCGTATTGAGAAGGCATAGCATGATTACCGTTAAGTCACCTATACGGGATCATATCCATTGGACAAACTTCTTAATATATCCAATATTGTAAATTCTTAAGGTTTTTCTGTACAATATTTGTTACAATTCAGAATGTTTTATCAAACATCGATGGTATTGGTGTGATAATTTTGTTAATAATTCGATCGTTATCTTAAATTCCAACCGGCAAGATTATTTCAAGATATTTCAGGAAATTTTGAAAATTTAACTTGCGTTGGTAAAAGGAACTGAACTGAATTCTTCTCTCGGGGGCAATAATAAAAGAGTCAATAATGAAAAACAAGTTAATACTTATTTATGGTGAAAATTGTGCATTGTATTTTGTCATGACTGCAAAATAATGGTGAACTTGGACATTTGCAATTCATGCATTTAAATAAAGTAAGTCTTCAGCTAGGGAATATGATCATTTAAAACAGGCTGAAAGTCCCGAATACGTGACAACAAGACGTAAATTTGTAAAACTACAATGCAGAAAAAATGCATTGTATACAATGAAAATAAAGCAGGGTTAGACCTGAGAGATGATATAGATTCTCGATTTAACAATTACCAGTAGAAATACTCCTCGGCCACTTTTTGAAACGAATAAGCAATGGCCTTTTCTTCTTCTGTGAAGTCTTTGTCCAGATCTATGTTAAGTGTTTTATTAATGAACTTGATACAAAACTCGGAATCTGCCACCTCCTCTCCGTTGTATTCAATCCAAGTTAACTTTCCTTTAGAACTTCTGTTGGAACCACTGTCGAATTCATTCTGGTGTAAATATTGATAATTTTACTATTTGTACATATACATGTATTTTATATAGCAAAGAGTACATATACATTTTAACACAACTTAATGAATTCAATAATAATGACAACACCATTTAATATGAATGCGTGCACACATTGAGTGACGTATTGCTTCTTTTAATACATCAAACCTGATATGGAACTTTTGCCATCCTCAAATAGGTCTCCAGTTTTACAGCAAACGGAGTAAGACTAGGAGCAAATGGGCCTCTTGGTACTGTGTGGTGAATTACTGTGTCTCTAGGATAAGATTTCCTAATAAAAACACACAAGATTGAAGAATACAGACAGTCATAATTTTATTTTGATATAATAATTAATATGACCGTTACTCCATTCGAGTCCTTAATATACTTGTTATTGCACATGTATTTAATCATAACAGAGACATAATAACATGTCTCTTATACCAAAAAAATTGCTGAGATTTATTTTTCTCAAATACACTTAGTTGTCTTGTTTTTACTTCGAATAAAAAAAACCGAAACATTATACATATAGACACAATAACAACAACCTTCAATGAAAAACAAAGTTTAATGGTTTTTTTTAATTTACTATATACCATATAAATGCGAGAGGTATGTTCTATTTTCAGCTGCAAAGTAGTTAACACGTTTTATATTTGTGATATTAATTTAAAGTAAAGGATATTCTGAAAAATAAATAATATTTACTTATCAGTCGCTAAACTAAAATTTGTCATTTTAAATTTGTGTAGTTTTTTAAGATATTCAGTTACTTTATTTGTACTGTAGGCTGTAGGCCTGTACATACTGTTGATACAGACTTCTTGTGTCTGTAACAAGTTTGTAAATCTTAATTTGACCTAATAAATTAATAAATAAATAAAATAAAAACATAAACACAGAGACTTGAGCATCTCTAAAGAAGTAAATGCGGCAAGGGTTCTGAAAGCAACAATTTTAATAATTTTTATACATAAAATGGAGAATTCTATGAACAATATAGAAAGGCATGAAAAAATAAGCTGTTTTTAAAATATTAAAATATTGACCTATAATGAACTTTACAATAATCATGGACAAGCCCCGTTCCTTCACACATAGGACTACTTAGGAACTTATGAGGGTTCCGTCTTACCTGGGGGTAGCTGCAGATCTGTAGCTCGCTGGTCTGAAAAAAAAATGGGATGGACGACCCCAATTTTTTTCAGACCAGCGAGCTACAGATCTGCAGCTAGGGAGGAAGGTGATCAAGGTCATTTCTTAGTTAATTTAATGTAATAACCTTGAAATTCCTGCGACCGCCCCTCCACCCCAGAGATCCGGTGTTACATGTGAATGTAGCTCCCTTTAGCTTAATTAACAGCTAGGTACTTTTTTATGGTAAAATTTCTAGTGAGGAATAGCAATAAGGGAGATGCCTCACTGTTTAATGGAAGTTTTACCACTGATACAGGTTTGGGAAAAAATAGCGTCATTTAGTTAAAATTGGGAAAAATATCATAATTCACATTTTTTGAGATAAATTTAAATAGGAGCCATTTTTTGATTTGCAAAGCATTAATAAAATTTAATTAACTAATTTACATTCAATAAATCTGTATTGAAAATCAGCTTCACTTAATTGTTTGCTGTTCTGAAGTTTTATTTAATTTGAGTTTATTTTTTTTTCTATTATATTTAGAATAACATTAATGTCATGTTTCGAATTGTCTTTTGGGAATTTTCTTCAATGAAATTGGGAAAAACACACACTTTTTACCATTGGGAATGGGGCCTATTACAGGCCCCCTACGACCCCTAAAAAACCCCTGTTTGTTCAGTGTGTTAATTCAACTAGTATACACATAATTTTCCTGGTTACAATGAATTCTCTTAGTTTGTTTACTCAGCAATTTATCTTAATCTTGCCATGTGTAAACCATCTGTTAACCCAAAAATCCACTTAAACCCTCCAGTGATCATGGTGATGTCATACATTCTTGCAAAATCTTTCATTAATTTCAGTTTATGCCCACTAGAAATCTATTTTTTGGAATAATGTTTTCAATAGTTACATGTACTTCAAATAAGTGTAATTAAAAATATTGTTTGATAAAAGAATTTATATAAAAAAATATATACCATGATTAATGGATTATTTATTATTAATAATATTTTCAAAAAAATATGTTACAGGCAATAACTCTTACCTATGTACAAATAATTGATAAAATTTATGAGATCAGGAGAGGAGAATTGGGGATAAGTAGAAAGGGGGGGGGGGGTACACCTCTTCAAATTGTATTTCACTATTATGTTAGTTATTATAAGCTGCACATCAGCATATTCATTTACCTTTTATATCCTCCAAGCTTACACTGATAACATTTAAGTAATTCAGCAATCTCCTCATACTAAGAATTATCATTAACTATTTAAGCATTACCAGTTGTATTGACCCGCCAGGCTTTCCATACATTTAGATAACAATGTTGTTAGTCACCTACTTGGTTTTCTTTCTGCTTTTTTTACACACAGCTATGACAGTAATTCCGATGACTGCAGCCACACATATCTCTTTGAAATGAGTTACCATAAATGTCTTCACGTCTTCCATTATACTCATTTTAAACTTTTTGATTATGTATACACAAAATACGTCCACTGTCTTTTTGGTGTTTAAATCCGGTTTGGTTTGTATGGCTATGCGTTATGTACATAAATAAATTTACTTCGGAAAATGTTGCCCCAAAAGGCCTTTTTTGTTAGATGTTCATAATAATTTTTCTCCTCTCCTATTTTAAATACGATCTCAAATACCAGTAGTTGAGCAAGAAAAAAAAATTAACTATATATAGTCATAGCTTTGAAAATTATGATTAACTATAGTGATAGCTTTGAAAATTATGATTAACTTTAGTGATAACTTTGAAAACTATGATTAACTGTTATTATATACTTTGAAAACTATAATTAACTATATATAGTGATAACTTTGAAAACTATGATTAACTATTGAGATAATTTTGAAAACTCGAAATCACTGTTCGTCAGCTGCACCTTTTTACATTTAGCAAAAGAGTTTGTTGTTGCTCTAAAATTGGACATTGGAATTCTTGATGATCGATCGTCATTTTTGCCTTTAAACTATACTTCTTTACTTTCGCTAGTTAGTGACTAATTTCGAGACAAATGAAGTGATAAATAAATAAATAAAAATAAAATAAAATAAAATAAATAAATAAAGAAATAAATAATAATTAAAGAAATAAATAAAAAAAAAAAAATAAAATTAAAAAAATGAATTTAAAAAAATAATAAATAAAATAAAATAAAATAAAAAGGTTCTCATGCAAAAACAGCTTTACATGGGATTGATTTTAAGCGATCAATAACACAGGAGAAAAGTTTTCCTTTATCATTTAACTTCATAACTAATATATGTCATGGGCTACTTGATAGCAAAATTATTCAAACATTTTACAACTGAATTTATCAGTTCACTTGTCTCGAATTTAGTTAAAAATCATTACTAACTCGGGGAAGGAAAGAAGAATAGTTTAAAGGCAAAAATGGCAATCGATCGTCAAGAATTCCAATGTCCAAAGTTAGAGCAACAAAAACTCTTCTGCTAAATAAAAAAAAAATGCAGATGACGAACAGTGATTTCAAATTTTCAAAGTTATCACAATAGTTAATAATAGTTTTCAAAGTTATCACTATAGTTAATCATAGTTTTCAAAATTATCACTATAGTAAATCATAGTTTTCAAAGTTATCACTTCATATAGTTAATCATAGTTTTCAAAGTTATCACTATATATAGTTAATATAGTTTTCAAAGTTATCACTAGTATAGTTATTAATAGTTTTCAAAGTTATCACTAGTATAGTTAATCATAGTTTTCAAAGTTATCACTATATATAGTTAATTATAGTTTTCAAAGTTATCACTAGTATAGTTAATCATAGTTTTCAAAGTTATCACTATATATAGTTAATCATAGTTTTCAAAGTTTATTACTTTATATAGTTAATCATAATTTACAAAGTTATCATATCAAAGTTATCACTCTATATAGTTAATCACAGTTTTCAAAGTTACCACTACATACAGTTAATCATAGTTTTCAAAGTTTTCACTATAGTAAATCATAGTTTTCAAAGTTATCACTGTATATAGTTTAATCATAGTTTTCAAAGTTATCATTATATATAGTTAATCATAGTTTTTAAGTTATCACTGGTATATTTAATCATAGTTTTCAAAGTTATTACAATCATAGTCAAACAAATTGTCAAAGTGATCACTATGGTAAATCAAAGTTAAAAATTCATCACAATTGTACATAATATTCTGTGATAGAAGTCTCAATTAATTCCACATTAATTGCATAACATAGATAAAATCCAGTTTTACAGACTTTCTGTTTTACCAAAGTTATCTGATGATGTCTTGTATTTCAAATAATTCCATGCACGTTATATGCAGTACCGTTTATTTTAAATTTTATTTTTAGTGATTCTTCTTGATACCTCATGATTTTCAATGACTGTTACTGAATAAACATTTCTAAAATGAATATTGTTTGTCTTTCATTTACCTTGGTCAGTTTTATATTAGTAAATCACGTTATATTATCAACAATAAGTACATCAAACAAGATTATAGAGTTATCAATCTTATTTACAACGATATAAAGTACATTAAATTGATAATCATAGTAAATTAAAGTTTCATAGTGATCACTACAGTAAATCAAAGTTTCAATTTGATTAGAACATATGTTTTATTGTACAGTACATACAAAAGGATTGGATACAAGTTCTTTCAACTTAATAGATCCTCTCCTTGTTATACAAACGATGAATACAATATGATTATTATAACAAATATAGACATTAGGATGATTTACAAAAAATGTTACATGTTACACATGTAATATATATGAAAAGTATAAAGACACATACTCTGAGTAATCTACCAGAGCTTTAAAATTACATATACAATTTACACTGAATGCAATGTCTTTTGAACAAGAACTTTGCATGTTTATTTCAAAAAATTAAAAATTTCATTCTACATATGCATATGGAAATCAAAGACACTGTTTTTAATTAAAATCAATCTGATTCTCGAATAAATTTCTGGACACTACAGAAAAATTTGAATATTTACATCGCTAGACAAAAATTCGTTTCCACGTAATAAAAAATGAGTGTTTATCATACTTTGCTGGTTAAGTTGAAGAATAGTGTTTATTGAGTCACTTCTCGGAAGTTCATATTTCTTGCATACAAAGAAAAATAATAAATGTCTTCAGATTGGCCACAAGTACATTTGGGAAAAAAAAATATATTTCTCTGATATAGGTCGCTATTTAAGATACAATTATGTCTTAATTTAGTATGAATTATATTCCAAAAACGTTTTCCACATGAAAAATAAGAAGGTGGTTTAGAGGAGGGTGTAGAGATACGTTTTTACAAATTGACTGATGGACTTCCCTTACTCCCAGATTGAGAGAATTCCAGTTGTTAATTACGTCTGGGATTCTTTTTTAAAGAGTTCAAGTCTACATTTCGGAATTGTGTAGTTTTCTGTATTACGAGTATTGTAAGATGAAGTGTTCACTCGAGTGTTTGGAAAATCTGTTTTAAGTAATCAGGAACAGTGTTGTTATGTAATTTAAACATTATAGTTAATTTTGCGTTCTTCCTTCCCTCTACAAGAGGTTCCCATCCCGTTTCTGAATAGAAACAAAACGGGGAGACACGAAATGATACGTGCGGCAGTAAGCTGAACTTTTTCTAATTTTTCAGTATCATACTGGATACATCCATCCCAAACAGCGGGAGCATATTGAAGATGAGGCCTGACAAAAACTGTGTACATTTTAGAAAGTGTGTTACATCAAAGGGTGAATTTGAGTTTTTTCAAAAGACCAAGATTTTTATATGCAGTATTTACTATGCTATTAATATATTCAGACCAATTTCAGTCTTGTGAAAAATGTAGTCCAAGATATTAATGCGTGGATACACACTCTATTTGACATTATTTAAAATATGATTTTGGAAGCTCAAAATATATTTTTCAGTGTAAAGAATATAGCTTTAGTTTTTGAAGGGTTATTAATTTTAATAAACATTTTTTTCAGACCATATGCATTCATCTAAAACTTCTAGATCGTGATTGCTATTATATTCTATGTTAACAACATGTGACGAAGAATTTTGTATAGTATTGTCATCTGCAAATAATCTACAGAGTGATAACATGTAATCTGAAACATCATTTACATATATTGGAATAACAAGGGACCAAGGACTGAGCATTTGGGTGCCCCGGCATTAATAGCCTTGCTAAAAGACAAAATAATTTTGTACATAACTTTTTGAGTTCGATTATTCAGGTAACTTTGAAACCATTCAAAAAGATTACCAGAAATTTCATATGTTTGTGGTTTAAAAAGAAAACCCTTATGCCATACTCTATCAAAAGCCTTTGATAAATCACAAAATATCATACAATACGATTTTCCCTCATCAATGCTTTTGGCAATACTGTGATATGTTTCTAGCAATTGATAAACGATTGAAGCAATTGATAAACGGTATCAAGTTTTCATAGTTATCACTATATTCAATCAAAGTTTTCATAATTATTACAAGTATTTTTCAAAGTGTCAAAGATATCACTATAGTTAACTATAGTAAACTATAGTTAACTTTCGTTTAATGTAGTATTTTTTGTAAGGGTAGGAGGAGTAAGCATCTCCTGTCAACTAGTCACGCCAGCCGAGAGTCATAGGTATTGATCAGGTAGACAGAGTATTCAAATAAATGAGCCATGGGTCACAGCACTCACCTGAGTAACTTAAGCCCTTCTGTTATTCTTCATAAATATTCCTTTGCTAAATTATGATCGTTCATTGTAGCACCATAGCACCGTCATGATTTGAACAAAATTAAATCAACACTATCTGAGGATGCTTCCATATAAATATGGAAACAAATCTAAATAAATATGACAAATCAAGGCTTTCCTGTTCTTGAAAAGATTTTTCGTATAATGCATTCCTTTTGCCCACTGTGACCCCACCCTACTCCCGAGGGTCATGATTTGAACAAACTCAAATCTACACTACCTCCATATAAATATGACTGATCATGACTTTGCTGTTCCTGGTAAAAGGATTTTTGAACATTTTTCTATGTTTTCCTATGTAATACTATGATTGCCCATTTTGGCCCAACCCTATCCCCAAGGATAATAAATAAAACAAACTTGAATCAACATACCCGAGGATGTTTTAATATAAATATGAAATATAATAATATAAATATGATAAATATGGCTTTGCTGTTCTTCAAAAGAAGATTTTTAAAGATTTTTTCTACATATACCCATGTAAAACTTTTTTTGCCAATATTGGCCCACCCTATCCCCGGGGGGTCGTGATTTGAGCAAACTTGAATCTGAATTACATGAGAATGCTCCCCTATAAATTTTCCTATGTAAAACTTTGTTTGCCCATTGTGGCCTCACCCTACCCCGGGGGTCATAATTTAAACAAACTTGTATGTACACCACCTTAGGATGCTTCCATATGAATATAATTTATCATGGCTTTGCAGTTCTTGAGAAGATTCTCAGAGTTTTCCTATATATACCTATGTAAAACCTTGTTCACCCAAAGTGGTCCCACCCTCTTCCCGGTGGTCATGATTTGAACACACATGAATCTACACTACATGAGGATGTGTCTTTTAAAAATCTTTTTCTCAGCTTGCTAACCCTATGATAGCAAACATGACCTTGAAAAAAGAGAAAAAAAAAAGTGTGTTGTATAAACATATATTTCAAGAGTAATGGATAAGGCATTAGTATTTTCTTCAAAAAATAAAGTTACCTTCTCAAACCTTGAATCCGCATCCATTTCTACTTTATACCTTAACGAAAAATATCAATTTATCCAAAAAAAAAAAAAATCTTAAAAGAAATATAATACTTTACCGGGGAAAATGAATTAAGATTTTAACATATGCATTTAAAATCAATTCAAAAATACATTAAAACATTTTATTTTTTTTTTTAAAAAAAAAGGCAATTAAAGAAAGAAACAAACAAAAAACAAAGACATCATTATAAATAACATTATATAAAATAGATGTATAAATATTGCAAAAATTATTGAGTCACTCTAGTGTATTGAAGTGTTCCCTTATGAATAAGGACAGTATCCAGATTCTATTCAATACACTTTGAAAACACACACACACACACTGAACCTCTCAAACACACAGGGACTTGTTTTTTAATAAACTTTTAGCATATAGTATTATTTTTATAGTCTTGGTGAAAAGTGTATTACAGAAACAAGAGCCTGTGAGAAAACATTCATTTTTGTAAAAAGAAATCAAAAAAAAAAAAAAAAAAAAAAAAAAAAAAAAAAAAAAAAAAAACATAATACAAGATGTTTTGTCAAAGATTTATTTGACACTAACAAAAGTGTTTAGGTTCAAAACTAAAATAGAGGTAAACAAAAAATCAAACTTTATTTTATAAATTTAACGGTCTGGTAGACATCCTCATAAAGAGAGGAGAGAGGGAGTTCCTCATTCCCCTTGACATTCTCTACAGCAGTTTGAACCTCTTCTAGGACTGCTTTAACTATATGCTATACGACGGAAGTAAAGAAATGAATGTGATAATTTTTCATATGTTAGAATCGCTAGTATATCCTCTAAAAAACTAATAACACCAATTTCACTCGCGCTTAATTTTACCTTTAATTCGGTTTCGTCTGTCATGTTTGCGTTCAATATCTTCTCTTTAAAAGTTTCAATGGGGTCCTTTCTTTGCCTTATTAAATCAATTTCGTCTTTTGTTCTGTACCTTAAAGAAAACAGGAGTATAAGTACTTTTATGTTCTCTATAATATGAAGTATTATTTACATTTTTACATTTTATGTAAAACTTCCCATGCCTTTCTCATCCCACCAGTCATTGTTTAAATAAAAACAACCCTCTCGATTTACACTATGTGCCACTCTCTACAACATCTTTATAGTGTAATATCCGAATTATGATGAAACACGAGATTGCTATCATACGTAAGTCATATATCATTATCATATATCATTACAATTATATTCTTGTAAATTATTACCAATTAAACATTTCACAAATTATGTAAATAATGCCCTTCTTATATGAAGTGCAACTAAATGATAGACTTCAATATATAATACAGTATAACCACAACAGTGTTACCCCTGTAGTTAAATTTTAAAGCTTTACAGACTCTTGCAGCAACTTAATCTTGTGTACATTGCTGAGAAAATTAGAAGGATATACTGAAATAAAGCCATCTTACCCAAGGCCTTTGTCTTTTGCACTATGTCCACCGTATCTGTATGACATTGTCTCCACTAGAATTGGACCATTTTCTAGGGCGTAATTTTTGGCAAAAACAAAGGCTTCTCGGACAGCCAGGATGTCCATTCCATCAACCTATCAAAAAGGGTGTTAAAAAAACTGGGAACTGAGTCAGAAGTAATTTCACCGTTTTTAAGATCCATCTCTTTAATCCTTATCAAGGCCGACACATGTACACCATAGAAAATAAAATTACTTATGACGACCCCCCCCCCAGTAATTACGTCTTATGTCCCCTTTGTTTTGCTTTCCAGAGCGAACAAAGGCTTCTCGGACAACTAGAATATCCATTCTATCAACAAATCCAGGAACTTTTGTAAGATAGTGCCCGATCAAACTGTAAATGTTTGGTTGGAACCCCCCATCCTCCCCACCCCTATCCTACGCACATGTACAGCCTATATTCCCATGTTCTCGAGTTTTAGCCAGTTTTATTGCTTAGATCAATCGGGGTGTGTGTAAATGTCAGAGTGGTCTCAAAATTCTAAGTAAATATAATCCTGGTGCAGGAAGTGCAATAAGTGTAGGACCATTGCGAAAAATATTGCAGAGGCTGTCACCACGCAAACACATAATATAAAGTAATAGTACTGAAAATCACTTTTCATTCGTAAGAACTTTATTTTGGTATAATCACGCAAAACAGTCTGCTCGCGAAAATTTCATTCTCTTATATAATTTTATTAGCATAGTGTATATAGGCATTAACCAACATTCGTGAAAATTGTGTGTTGCGTGTCAAAATGAAGTATCTAACTAGCGCAAATAAGGTGTCGCGAAAATTTGGTGATCTACAGTAGTATAAGATTAGGTAAACTTGGTCTTATTTTCAGTATACAATATTAATGTGATTTTAAAGCATATTTCTTGATCATACACTACTTGATAATATATTTTAAAATGCACGTTGAATCTGGAGGAGATTTTGAACTATAAATATCCATTCCTTCTTAAAGGGAGATTTTGAACTATAAATATCCATTCCATCTTAAGGGGAGGGGGCCGACCCTCTGATAAGAGAGATAACTTCCAAAGTATATTATCCTAAAATTACCCGTAGTTTGTCATAACAAAGTTTAGTAGTGGAGACTCCCGGAACAATAACACAGGATGGAAACCTTAACTTCTATGTCCTTTTGCAAATATTTTTCACAGTTTTTGTTTATATATATAAATACACAAATATACACAATATAAATCACTGATTTTCCTATTCTCTTTGTCAAACTTTTTTCATATCATGCTCAGACATACAATTCATTTCTGAAAAAATAAGCACCACTACATACCTCAAACTCTTTTCCATTGGAATCAAATACTATAGTTGTTGATGAAAACCAATATTAGGAAATCAACAAGATGTGAAATATGAAGCAGAGGGTCACTACTCCTTAATTTAAGTGAAATAGACGTGTAAGAATTTAGAAATATAGACAAAAGAATTTACCCTCAGTCCGGGGATGTAGTCTCCTCTTGTATAAAATTCAGTGATGGCTGACACTCTCTCTGCTTTTGTTGAAATACTGTATACATTATTGTCACAAAGGTAGATGCAAGGAAGATTCCAAAGTTTTGCCATGTTAAAGGCTTCAAATATCTGGCCTTGATTGGCTGAACCTTCACCATAGACAGATATAGACACATTGGACTTATTTTTATATTTCATTGCAAAGCCAACACCGGTTCCAAGAGGCACCTAATGTAAATAACATATAACAATAACTCTCCTCTATTCTTGCGATTTCCAGAAAATTGGCATTTTTGAAAGATCAATTTTCACTTTTTGAAAATAGTTCATTATTTTATACAGTATAAGGGACAAGTTTGTATACAGATTATGACCAAACTTTACGCAAAAGAGACTTTGACATTATTCCATTTGAATTAAGATTGTATTCCAAAGTTGCATTGAAGTTATAATCTTTGGAAAAGTTAAAAATGTTTTATTCATACAAAAATGAACTTTCTTTGCTCTTGATTATCATTTTATATGAATAGGAAATCGTCTTTCACTTATAATGCTTTTATTGATACTGACAAAAGGACGTTTGAAAAATAAATATACCATAAATATTTAATCAATAAACATTGTTTCCTTAATACAAATCTCTATAAGAGATAAGTGAAGGTGAAGATAACGAATAGTGATCAATCTCATATATACTGCAAACAATACGAATCATGGGGCAAACACCGGGGCCTCTTGAAACATCAGTATATAACGTCGTCAAACGTGATAGCGGCGCACTGGGATGTAATAAAATTGATTCAAATGTGACATTACACAATAAAACGTTAGTAGAGAAGTTGTTCATAAATGACATTAGAGATTCAAGGACAGTTTTCATCTCCGTACCAAAAATAGTTAGGCCTATGCGAAGAAGAGTAATGTTTGTTAAATTCAGACGGCGAGGTACGTTATGGGTGACGTTGGACGTCAAACTGTGTGTATTCTCTGCTTCCTACAATGTAAGACGACCTTCCGAGGACAGTGGTGAATTTTAATGAGTCCTTCAGTCAAGAGTGTTAATGCCAGTTTGAAAAATCAATGAGATGCTAGAGAGATGCGTGTTAAGGACACGGGCCGGGGCAGTACTTAAAAAAATGATCATGGTGTTATAAAGAGACGTAAATTACGCTTGCTTTCGTGCGCCGATGTGTACTTCTATGTTTTTTTTCATTATTACATTATTTTTTCAATGAATGTGTTATTATCATGTAACTCGAAATTCATGATCATAAAATGTTGGTTTTTACTATGACAAGAAAAGAAATCTAATTAGCAAGGAGAAACTAAATTGTTTTCCTTGTCTACGACTTTTTGGGACAACTCTCGTATACCCTTTGGCTAGTCCATTAGAAGGGTTGTCAGGCCATTTCTTGAGAAGAAAAATGTTAAAGATATTTTCAATATAATTCTATGAAAAAGTTGGCCCCCTGTTGTGTCTGCGCCCAACCCCGAGGGGTCATGATTTGAATAAAACTTGAATCTACACTACCTTAGGGTACTTCTATCTTAATATGACTAATAAAATCTAGTTAAATATCCATTGTAATTTTGCTGCTAATTTAATTTGATTTTGTATGTAATACAATGGATAATAATCATAAATAAATAAATAAAATAATAATAATAATAATCTAGTTGTTTTAAAAGATATTACCTGTATATTCCCATTGTAAACAATTTCCAATTGTAAACAATCAGGTTATGATTGGAACAAACTTTAATCTACACTACCCGAGGATACTTCGATAATAATATGACTAATCATAACTTTGCTGTTCTCGAGAAGAAGATTTTTAAAGACTTTTCCTAGATATTCCTACGTAAAACTTCAACCCCCTCTTGTGGTCCCGCCCTACCCCCGGAGGTTATGATATGGACAAACTTGAATTTAGAGTATGTAATGGAGCTTTCACATAAGTTTGATCTTTTCTTGCCAAGTGGTTCTTGAGAAGTTTTTTAAAAGATGCCACCAAATTTTCACAAATTCTTAATTATCTCCCCTTGAAAAATGGCGTGGCACTTTCTGTGAATAAACTTAAATCCTCTTTATTCAAGGATGTTTTGTGGCAAGTTTGCTTGAAATTGACTCAGTGGTTTTTGAGAAGAAGACAAAAATGTGAAAAGTTTACAGACGTCAGAGGACACACGACCGAAGACAAACGAAAAAAGGACGCTGGACACTCTTTGATAAAAAAAGCTCAGGTGAGCTAAAAAGCCTAGGAGACAGTGAATAATTACTTTGTGAAGTCTATGGGCTATATTTGTCCTAAAAATTGGTAAATTGAAAAGAAAATAAACTTCATCTGTAAGTAATCAATATAAGGAGACAAACAACCAAAGCCCATTGTCTACGCGAAAAACGAGTAAGTCTAAAAATATGACAAAAAGACGGAAGACGAGGATTAACACTCCGACCATTTCATGGCAGGGGCGTAAACGTTTTTAAAAAGTAATGTAATAAAAAAATATCTACCGTGGCTCCTATTATTCCGCTGCCACCAAGCATGTTTCTCGAGTAAAGATGCATGGCGCCACCTTTACCCTTACAACAACCAGTTGATTTCCCTGTGGAAAAAGAATTGGAAACCTTTTATCAATTAAATACAAAACAGTTTTGTTAACTCTTGATGTAAATTCGATATTTGTCTGAAAAAAAAAATAGAAAAGCAGATTAATTACTGATAGGAAAAGACACAGACCATGTAAAAATGATTTGAAAATATCAATATTCTATGGTTTCAAATTATTTTTGTTGAACAAAAGCGTAGGATATGAGTTGTCTCTTTCATTAGAACTTCAGAACACAAGATTGAACACAAGGCACAAGAGTGAACATGGGTATCGTTATATTACTTTGATAAATGTCTTTATAAATACAATTTATTCCTTAGACAAATGCCCTTATCACAGTAAAATACACATATTGGTTAAAAAAAATCATACTACTGTAGAAGCATTAAAATTCGTGGAGGGAGGGCATTTTTCATTGATTGCTTAAATTTCACAAGTTCGTGGGAACCTAATTTCGCGTATTCTCTTATACCTACAAAAAGAAATATGACTTTGTAACCATAGTTTCTTAATTCGTGGAGGATGTTAGTTCGTGGATGAGAGGTAACCACAAATTCCATGAAAATTGAGCCATCACGAAATCTAATGATTCCACAGAATATAATATCGAATTGCCTATACAACCAATTTATTTACTATTGCTTACCCAAAAATTCTGCCAGAATCTCCTCGACTGGTATCCCTCTAGCATAGGCCCAGCCATGAACACGGTATGTGCCCACTAATATGTCCTCTGTTGTTATGGCTGCTTCCACTCCAGTTCGCACAGCTTCCTGTAACAGGACAAATTAAATTTTACAGGTATTGTTTCTTCGTTAGTGAAGCTAATGTATTTAATCTATTCTTTCTTTTTTTAGCATTATTCTTCATATGTATTTCTACAGGATCAACCATATAGTTTTACCATAAATGTCCAAAAGGATAAGGTAACATTTTTTTTCGATATACGAAATTATCCTATGATGAAATGTCTGACATTTCAATATTTTGAGGCAATCTAAAATAGCTAGATATTTTCTTGCCTGATTTTGTCGTAGAAGGTATACAGTACATGTTCATTTTGAAAAGAATAATTAATTTACGAATATTTTTTCATTAGATATATTAAAGCTATATGGATTGACTACCCTAATTTCTGTTCTATATTATTTTATTGGATCGTCATACAGACTTTAATGGTATGTTCAGGCCCTTTCAGGATAACTGCGGTACTACTCTTTTGCAGGGCAAATTATTAATATTTTGCGAAATTTTTCATGACAGATAATCAAATTACGTATATTCAACAAAATATATCATTTTGCCTAACAAAAAAGCAGTACTCCAGTGATCGCGAAACAGACTATCAATGCCTTTCAAATTTGCTAGGGATATAATGAAATTAGTAAAGATACCGAATAGTGATTGGTCTCAAAAAACCTATAATCAATACAAATAATGTAGCAGGGCATAGAACACGGACCCCCTAGGAATTCCATGGGTAGGATCGGGTGTCTAAGAGGAGCTAGCATCCTTTGTCGATCAGTAACACCCACTGTTTCCCTTGTGATCAGGTAGACGGAATAATCCGTTGTCAAATTTAGAATATAAACAAAGGTCAAACAATTGGTATGATATATGTCAGTCAAAAAAAGGCCCAAATGGTAGGTTGTAATTGCTTACAAGGTCATTATAACGACCATCGTATCTTTCATCAAATGCTGACTTTAAACTAGGTTATTAAATACCCATGTAACATTAAATTATGGAAATGCTGACGTCATAAGTCCTTCATCACGAAGATGCAACCAGTTTATATATTTCAGTATATCAAAGCACAGAAAAAGAACTTTTCAACTTTATTTTTTAGAAAAGGAAAAACAATTTGTAGTATAAATATACCATCACATAGAAAGATGAAAAAGCGGGTTTTTTTTTTTACATATCGGAAGACGAATAGTTGTGGAATTGTGGATTATTCATTCCTTTAAAATTCGATATTTTAACAATAAAATGAACTCAAATGTTCCAAAACGTTTCAAATTAAAATAAAAAGATTTTCTTGGAATGATGCACATTTCTATAAAAAAGTGTATAGTTTTACTCTTGCTACAAAAACAGAACAATAAGGCACTTTGTCCCGTCTTCATTTTCAATTAATTACAGGTAATACATGTACTCTGTTAATTTTTATAAACTCTAATATTTTGGATGCTAAAAATGACAGAATATTTTTTAAAACTTAAAGAATTTTTCTTTCAAATTTAAACTGTACATATAAATTTACCAATGTAGCTAGACTTAAATAATTAAAGTCACAGACATTAAAGCTGAACACGCTTCGTAAAAGGAATTTGTCCACCATATTCGATTATTCGTTATATCTGAGAGCCCCTATCTAAAGCCGCTCACTTAGTCAGTGTAATAAGTCGTCGCCGGTGTAGACGGACGCATACTACACAGCACTCGTTAGCGACAAAAAATAACTTACTTCCTCTAATGCAGGAGAATAAGATACGGATAAAACTTACGACGGTTGCACTGGTCAGAGTGCAGTGTACAAACAAACACAAATACACCTAACTGCAATAAAATGTAAACAAAGGTATTGTAACATAACCAGCACGAACACGTGTCGCCATTCCACGCCGATACCCGTGACAATAAAGCAGTCAGGTGTATCGAATGCGAAGGGTATATCCCGGTGCTGATATCGTAGATAGTGTAATCGAATTTGGCTTATGCCTGTTTACGAGTCGTACTCAGCTTTAAGCACACACAAGGGGTAAACAAAACAATAACGATAAAAAAAGATTCTTTACATACCTGATAGTATATTTCAAAAATTTCATTAATAGAATTTAAACATAAAATATAGTAAATATAAAATATAGTGAATAAATAAGAAGTACATCTACAACAGTCGTGGACTTTCCTGTACGTTTTTTCCCGGGATGATTTTATTATCATGTTTTACTAAGCATATTTTCGTTTCATATATTATTTTTTAGATAAAAACGATGCTACATTACATACAATCTGGTTCTGATTTAATCTCTATATCAAAAGTCATAATAATTTAACTCAAGGACAGAAGAAAAAGTATTCTAGATGATGTAAAATCAAACTATCTCTTACAGAATTATTTGTAGGGTACAATTGAAAATTAATTAGGATGAGAAAATGTATTTGAAAAAACCCCCCAACAAAACAAAACAAGAAATATGAACAATATTATTTGCTTCTTTATACAGTTGATATCAATCATGATACCGTTTTCATATCAACTGTTGTAACGCTCTTCACAATGGTCTTTGCATTAAAATGATAAAGTCAAATAAATTATTCATATAATAGTGCATATTCATATAATAATTATAATGGTATAAAACATATGATAGGTATATGTAAAACATATGTGATAAGAAGAATCCCCCATGGTTTATCGTTGGATGTGATTTTTATCCAACTTTTTGTGTGTTCCTACCGCACAAGTGATGAGATAAAACTTATATCCAACCACAAACGATTGGGGATCCTACAATTTAATTTATATCTCTAAAACATTTTATTGTCAGTGGGGTAACTCAAAGACATGAAATTGATAAAAAGGCATCTTGATGAAGAGAGTATTAAAAGAAATTTAAGAGAGAATTTTACCATTCCTCGACATAGATGCAGAAATCCCCGAATATAGTTTTGTTCAAATAGTTTCTTTGCTGCATGTCCTATCTCTCTCATTCCTGTCATGGTCTTAAAGTAACTAAGGGCATCCTTCCTCGTGAGAGTAGATTTAGTTGATGGACCAGTTTCTAGTCTATGTAATTGATAAGGCTGCCAAAACAAAACAAAAAAAAACTTTAAAATGCAATGGAATATAAAATAAGGTCGCTTCACTTTTAAAGGGACTGAAGGATAAATTCAAACTTAAAAAGTTCAGAATACTTTATGTCTAGACATAAAATGTCTACTATTATAGTTGTGCTTTCCTTTACAACAAAATAAAATGTTATACTACTATGATATTGATCTGAAGCTAATAAAATGGTTGGTACTTCTACTGTAAAGACAGTCTCGTTGACAAAACCTCGTCTTGACAAAAAATGCAGAAATATCTGTAGAAAACAAAGTAATAAAGCCTTTGATAAAAAAGAATATGTTGTCAAAAATCTTTCACAGACAGTAGGAATCTTTATTATATTGAGATGGTTGCTTTATTGATTTTACTTTATAAATGAATAAATAAACAAAATACTCATCAGTTTTGAAATAAGAGATAAACATATACCTTCTGAGAAACTTTCCCATGGGCGTGCATTTTCTCATTTCTTCTTAAGTTGTAAGAATCACGTGTTCTACATTGTAATAAAAATACATATAGGCCTACATGTATATATTAGATGGGTGAATATGTAAGTTTCTTGGAAAAGCTGTTGATAGCAATGATTTTATCACGTGGGCTTAGTGGTTATGTCGATTACAATACACTTTTGAAACCCCCTTGTAAAGAAGAATTCAAGACTGTTTAAAATATAGGAAATTGCAATGAAAATAGGATGTGGATCATTTGGGTGCTTTTAGATAAGAAAAGAAGAACTCTCGACTGTTTAAAATATATGAATTTGCAATTGAAATAGTAGGTGGATCATGTGGGTGTTTTTAGATAAGAAAAGAAGCCGAATATTTAGCGAGGATTCAATTTTGGCATTATTCACGATAGTTCTGAGATCGCTAAAATTGAATATCAATAACAATTTGTTCCATATCGGTTGTTATAATTATCTCTCTTGACATTATAAAATCGCTAAAATTACTTTTCGCTAAAAATATATACCAATTTTTGGGGATAAATCGCTAAATGAGCGTCTCTCTCAAATTTCCACTTCTACGGTATACGAAATTGCAATAAAAATGGTAGGTGAATCTTGTGGGTGTTTTAGATAAGAAAGGATCTCTCGACTGAAATATACGAAGTGCAAAATAAATAAATAAATAAATAAAATAAAGTGGATCATGTGGATGTTTTTAGATGAACAGTTTATGGTTAGAAATATCACATTTCCTATTATTAGGTTGCTCTCTTTGGATAACCACTCAGGGCTCTTAGATTGGTTTAATTAGGAAGACATTTTCACCCAGTAAAACAATTTTCCATTTATATATGTAGAATGCTCAGATATGTGAATAAATCTAGACAAAGACCAGTCAATAACATCAATCCTTTAAGAACTTGTGAAAGACCTACCTTTTTGCTTACGTAGCAAGTTAATCACAATTTCATGGGATGCGTTTAGCAGTCTAAAGTGAAATATGCAAATGTGGTTGGGATGTATGCGTAATATTGCTTAGGTACTTTCCTTAGGATTAAGTAGCTATCGATCGATTTACTTAATAAGCAGGATAATTATTCGACTTTAATATCCGGTAAACTGACGAATTGTACAGAACTAAATGTACACTATGAAAAGGAAAATATTGTGCAGTGTTATTTGCAATATTACAGTTCTCAATACGTTTGCAAATTCAAGAAAGAATGCATAATGTTTTTTTTGTAAATAAAAATCTGTGCAACCAATTGGGGTACCAAGGGAAAAAAGCTCCATAAGATATATATATATATATATATATATATATATATATATATATATATATATATATATATATATATATATATATATATATATATATATATATATATATATATATAAAATTAAGTTATCAATCCATCATCAAATTCAACATCACTTCTCCGAGCCATGTATTCATTTTTGTTTCATATTGAGTACAATTTGTGTAGCCATATAAGAGTGTTCTGATATTATTTACAAAACAGAGTTTCATATCATTGTGATTATATAAATAGAATCTTTTATCAATTAACAATAGTTATTTCCATTCACATGTTAACTCGATATATCCCAGTAAAAGATACCACAGATTCTGCAACACCTGTTTCATATTTGAATGTTTCACTGAATATAGACGGAAAAAGCCAATTAACAACTAAATTGTATGACAAACGGGATGAATCCAGCTTTTCTATCGTCTATTTTCCCTGTTTTTTTTTTAGTAATATTCCGCTATCACCTGCATATGGTGCGTATGTCTTCCAACATTCAATACTCAAGAGCATGCTATGAGAACGAGCCAGCTAGCCAGACTACTGACAGATAAGTTGTTACAGGGATTTCAACAATCTTGTTTGAAGTCAACATTTCGTAGATTCTACGGTAGTTATATTAACCTTGTTGGCAAATACAGCCTATCATGGTCGTATTTTGCCTGACATTTTTACACCAGTTGTTTGGCCTTTGTTTTAAATTTGACAACGGTATATATACTGTCTACCTGAGCAATATATAACTAAGGCTCACGGCGGCAGTGACCGATCCACAGGGGATGTTTACTCCTCCTAGGCACTTGATCCCACATCTGGAATTCATGGGGATGATCCGTGTTTTATGCCCTGTTTACTTAAGAAAATATCATTTTTAGAGTTTCATTGGGGTATGACATGAAGTCGGTCACGTGATCGTGATTAGATTTGATCACGTACCGACTTCATGTCATAACAAAATGAAACTCTTAAAATGATATTTTATTTCTTATTATATATTTCACTTTTTTATTCGTGAAATATAGGCATTATTTAGCCTATGCTATGGAAATGCAACATAACGTACCTACAACGTCATGTGACAACACAATCGGAAGTTTCCAGATGGCTCGTGCAGTTTGCTTTCTATACGCAAGAAAGTCTTATCATGTGACCAACTGCATATTATTGAAAATTGAATTTCAATTTAATTAGTATTGTTATATAAGGAAACACACTGGCATATGTAAATATAGATATATACATGTAAATTGTTTGTAGAAGCCATGCGGTTCATTAGATTGAGATGTGTAAGACACAACCCTTTATTTGCCTTTTCTTGAGGATATTCCCTTTGAAGAGTGCCTGCTCATTTTTTGCAACAAATTTGAATCCCATATCCCAAGGCTGGTTTTTGAGAATTTTGTTCAAATTAGTCCAAGGGTGATCAGAGAAGCTCATAGGAACCTTTTGATCAGTTGAGCCAAAAAAAGGTATATTTGGTTTTACTTGGCTCAATGCAGTATACATATAAACCAAAGTCATCCTTCTTCATTCTGACTTTTACATAATAAGATTATTACGAGAAAATCATTATATATGAAGATCAGATGTAATCTTCTTATCAATCAATACTCTGCTCTCACTGACAACGCATTAATTGCCTTTTAAGTGAAATTAACAAAATCAATAGGGTAAAAATGGATTGGATTTGATCTTGATAAGTTATCTGATGTAGGTGTGTCTGTTAAAAATAATATGTGTCCTGGTGAAAAAGATGAAGATAACGAACAGTATTTAGTCTACAAAAATCTACAAAAAATACGCATCTTTGAACAAGGCTTAAAATGAAGCCCCCCGGAAATTCCGGAGGTGGAATCGGGTACTTTGGAGGAGTGAGTCTTATGTTTATAGGACAAAATTATTAATTATTATTATTAATTGCGAGTCAATTTTATGAAATTATTATTTTCTAGTAAAAATAAGCATATCATTAATTTCATCGCATATGGACAAGAACTTTAAGACAATTCGATAAAAATCAAATATTTTTGCATTTGGTTGTACATCTAAATATTGCGATGTTTCAATTCTTAACTTGATATTGATTACTTAGTGTACAGAGTTCAACGATCAATGTTCTAAACCCAGGCAAATTAAAGACGTATTCGACAAACGTGATGATCGATTTAACGAATGTTTAATACCAAGGTGTTGATCTGTCTTGGACGTCAGTTCAAGAAAAAGTTTTGGAATAGCTGCTTTACAAGATTATCTTAATATATGCATAACACTTGGAATGGAACTGAATTTTATTTAAATCCCTATTTTTAATTATATTTTGTTTTTTTTTTATACGTGTACTAAAATCTTGTCAAGATTGTCCAAATTCTTAATTAAGCAAACGAATGTAAATTTTAAAATGATAATTATACATTAATTATCATAAGATAAGACACGAAAATAATTAACTCTGCCTTATTAAACGCTGGACTATGTACATATTTTACAATGAACTACCGGTATTCATCGAATACGCAATTAAAATGATAATCAGCAAGAAAGAACTATACTGTAGAATCACTTATTTTCGAAGGGCCAAAATTTCGCGTTTTAAGGTAAGGTTACTGGTTCGAGTGGATTTGATTTCCTGTTTAAAGAGGACATATAATATTGTAGTAAAAAATCAAATTTCGCCGGGGTATGAAAAATATTGGTTTCTTCATACCATGAAAAGAACGAAAATGAACCCCCACGAAAATTTTTGACTTCACAGTAAAGCAGACCGCACAAAGACCGAGGGTGGATATTCTCCCTATATTCAGTCAATAACATATATATTACATATTTCAATAGTATTAATAAATTTTTCTCAAGTCATAAGAATTTATTTGCATACTCTCTGTTTTCTCCCACTATAAACCTGCACTCACCAGTTGCGTTCATAGCAGTTCGTTTCTTACACTGGCGCAGTACAAGGTAATCCACTTATTCTACGCATTCAGAAGTATTTATATGAAGTGTTGTGCAAAAGGAATAAATTTTAATTTTTAATGAAATACTCCAGGAAAAAAAATATAAAATGAATAAAATTGCTGATTGATGTGTGTTTAATATTAAAAAAAAAATAATTTTAGTCGACTTGTTTAATTGTATAATAAAACTTTCTACAAATTAAATAGAGCTCTAGATCTTTACTTTATTTGTTCATTTTTACGCATATAGTTACAAAGAACGATAACTCTTCATGCTAGGATGTTTATTTTCAGACAAAGCGAAATTTCTGTAATAGTGTATCTACTTCAAAAACGATTTTAAATTTTAAAAAGAATTTTAAGAACTTAAGAAACACAAGAAACACATTCTTAAGTTAAAATCAAAATAAAACATTCTCTTTTTTCATACTACGCTTGTTAATAATTTTTTCCAGAGAGTTTCGATGACGATAACGTCATGATGCATCACAACAGCATCGAAACAAAATTTTACGAGAAATTGAAGACAGCGCGGTTTGTATCCAGATAACTGTGGTTAATAAGCAAATATCATATATATATATATATTGTATATAATTTATTGGCGATAAAGTGGATTATTATATAGTCTATAAACAGTCCCTATATAATCTATACAAACGCAAACGGTTCATAACACTACATATTCACTGGATTTGAAGCCGTATTCACCGGAGGGTCGGTGAGCGTGCAGCGGCATTGTGACGT